TCCCACTTTGCTCTAAATAGCTGATTAATACATTAGAACCAATGATTTTTTTCCTCTTCAGTGTAGTAGTCACACTTAGCAGTAGGCTCCTACTCCCATAGCTTCTAGTTACTATTTCTCCCATAATTCTCAAATTACAGAGACAATGCACTGACGGGTGTAACTCTTTCCTTTTATATCCCATCAAATTCACGACAGACACAACTCTTAACAAGCTCATCTCTATCCCCTGCCAGGAGCTACGTGTGCCCTCTACACCAGTGCTGGGGTTCCCATTGCTGTCTGGGCCCCCATCCCAGAGTCTGCAGTTTGGGATTGCTTGCGGGACCAATTATCTTAGGTTGAGATTCCTAGTAGCAGAGCTTGAGACAAGGATCCTGTGCAGAGATTTACTGAAGCAGTGTCCTCAGGGGGGGGGGAAAAAAATGGATGTTGGGACAGGTAGAAAGGGGAAGCAAGGAGGTGGTCTTCCTGAGGATTGCCTTCAACCTAATCCTCTGGGAGCTCTGTCCACCTTGAGGCAGGGACTCACTGCTTAGGATCCTGGTGTTAGTCACTGGCTGCTATCCGCCCAGGAGGATTTAAATTCTGCAGTGAGGTGGTTCCTCTTCAACTGGGGGTGATTCTCTGAAGAAAAAAGGGCACCTATGAGTGGATGGCAACCAGTGGTTGAAGCAACTTGGGGTGGGGGTGTGATGATCGGCCTGATGAAAGCTTGAGGGATGAGGCCGATCCCAAACATTTCAAAGTATCCTTCATCTATAGAACTGGGTATCAATGATATCAATACATAATTCACAGATTTATTTGCAAAGTAAATGAAGTCAAGTGATTGATGGCTTGAATGTAAGTGGAATTTAGACATGTTTGGAAAATGAGTTGACTGAGCCTGTCAGAAGCCTGTTTGCACAGAGATTGAGGAGCTCCCTCGGAGTAGACTCAGATACATCTGCAGATTCACACATTCACTTACTTACAAATATTCGTGCAAACACTATAGTGCTTATAATGGTCTGAATGTTTCCTCCCTCTGCAAACTCAATGCCCAATGGACTGCATCCAGAGGTGGGGACCTTGAACAGGTGATTAGATTACAAGGGAAGACCCTCATGAATGGGATTAGTATCATTATAATAGAGGCCTCAGAGAGAAACCACGCCCATTTACCCATGGGAAGACACAGCAAGAAGGTGCCATCAATGACAAAGAAGTCCTCACCAGACGCCGAATCTGCTTGATCTTGGGCTTCCCAGCCTCCGGAACTGTGGAACTATGAGCAATGAATTCCTGTTGTTTACAAGCCCCACAATCTGTGGTGTTTGTTACAGCCACTGGGACAGACAGGGAGGGCGTTTTTCGTGTGTCACACTCTTTTAATGCCATGAGCGTTTGGACGGGTTCAAAGAGGTGAAGTTGAAGAGGAGACCTGTCAGCAGTCTCTTCCTTCATGTCTTGGCATTAAGAAGCATTTGGGCAGAGAAGTCATGCTAAGGGAGCCACAGATCGGGCATGATGAGCTCGACAGTCTGAGATGGAGGAAGTTTCGGGGAAATAGGTAAAATCAAAAAGATCATTTATTTAGGATTCAAATACACCTGAAATGAGGAGCTCAGCTCTTGAACTCTTCTAACAAAGCCTTCTACAGAAACAGGGATGGATAGTGCGGGGGAAGTTCTCCCACTGAACACAGAACATCAACAGCTGTGCCATCTTGAAGGTGTCATTGCCTGTACTTGACAGGGGACAGCTGTAGGGGAAAGTGTGTGGTAGATAGCGCTAGGACCCTGTAGGATCTGGGTGGAGGTTCAGGTGCAGACATTGAAGAGAAGTGTGGGGACCCTCTGGGAACTCCTAAAAATTCTCCAGGGTCTATCTTCAGTGTAGGGCTGGCAAAGTCTGGGGACACTGGTTACAGTGCTACCATGCCAAGACCACCCAGCAGGGTGCAAAACTCCTAGCTGATGCTCAACCTGTTACTCCACTTAACCTCTTCAACAGTGCCACAACCCTGCTGCCTTTCTGTCACCAGGGTGCCAATTAAATATAATTTTTTTGTTTGTTTCCTGTGGTGCTGGGGGTAGAATCCAAGGCCTCGTGCAGGCTAAGCAGATGCTCTATTATTGAGCCACACCTCTAGTCCTTAAATATAAATTTCAGCTACTAACACTTTAAGGAATACTCTGGCTCCCAGACACTCTCACAGATTCTTAGATTTAATGACAGAGTCTCTGGAAAAATCTACATTACTTTTTATTAAATTCCTATCCCTATTCAATTTGGATGGAGGATGAAATGAACTGAAAAAGCCAGTATTCGAAAACAACTTTTGCAAAAGATGTTGGTTTTTGATGTTGCTGTTGTTTTGGTACTGGGGATGGAACTAAGGGGGGCTTTACCACTGAGCAACATTCCCAGCCCTTTTTATTTCTTATTTCAAGACACAGCCTTGCTATGTTGCCTAGGTTGCGAAGGTTGGCCTTGAACTTGCAATCCTTCTGCCTCAGCCTCCTGAGTTGCTGGGATTACAGGCGTGCACCATCATGTCTGGCCTAACTCTCCTTATATTAAAAGACGACTCAACATTGGATATAGAGTTAGAATCCAAAATATAAGCTTTGTAGTTTACTTTCATTCCACCAACGTAGAGCCCTGAGTCTCTGCTGATGGGTATGTTCTAAGAAAGGGGTCACCAGGCGATGATGTTGCTACATGAGCATCATAGAGGCACTCACACAACTTAGGGGGCAGAGCCACAGCACACTTAGGCTGTGTGGCATTTATGTGGAACAGCCTGTTGTTCCCAGGACCATGATGAACAAAACAACATGAGATTAAGTTAACCAAGAGAAAATGACACAGTCAAGAGTTGTGATAAACACAGGATATGTGAGCTTGCTGTGGGTGTAACACAGCAGACTATTTCACAGTGAGATTCTTTTTAAAATGTAGAAAGAATACACTCTAAAATAAGGATTAAAATATAGTATGGTGCCTGGTGCAATAGTGCACTACAATAATCCCAGCGACTGGGGAGGCTAAGGCAGGAGGATTGCAAATTTGAGGCCAGCCTCAGCAATTTATCAAGACCCTCAGCAACTTAGTGAGATCCTGTCTCAAAACTTAAAAATAATAATCATAAGCAAAATAAAAACAGCTGGGATGTGGTTCCGTGGTGAAGCATTCCTGGGTTCAATCCCCAGTACTGGCCCCCCAATATATATATACATATATATACACACACACATAAATATATGGAGAGAGAGAGTGCAGTCAATACATAAACCAGTAACATGGTCATTTATAAACACTATCAAGTATTATGTATTGAATATAAACATAAACATATGTGCATTACTTTTATGACTGGCAGATCAGTAGGTTTGTTTGATAGCATCGCCACAAACACATGAGGAATCCATCGTGCTTTGACATTATGAAGGCTGTGATGAGGAATTTTTCAGCTTCATTATAATCTTATGGGACCAGCATTGACCTAAACATAAAACATTACATTAGGCATGACTGCTTCCTTAAGACCTCTGATGGGTATTCCAGTTCTTCACATACATCCAGGGTCTGTACAAAGTACAGGAGACAGTTACAATCCACTCAGAAAAAACAACTATGGCTACAAGCCAAGTGCAGTGGTGCACTCCTGTAATCCCAGTGGCTTGGGAGGCTGAGACAGGAGGATCACAAGTTCGAGGCTATCCTCAGCAATTTAGCAGGGACCTAAGTAACTTAGTGAAACCCTGTCTTAAAAATAAAAAGAGTTGGGAATGTGACTAAGTGATAAAGCCACCCTAGGTTCAATCCCCATACCTTCAAACCATCAAACAAAAAGAACTATGGATACAAAAAGGGATCAGAGGGCACAGAAAAGAGATGGTCCAAGGGGCAGGTAACCTATACATGAAGGAGTTAACATGAAGTCCAGGTTTTCAGAAAAAGGTGACCTTATAAGGCCAATATGCGGGTTATTTTCTGATAATTTCTTAATCTTTAGAGTTTATTGTTTATTTCAAATACTATAGCAATATTTTTTCCTGTCTGCACTTAATAAAGAAGTAATGAATTTGGCCAACATGGACTAAAGGTTAAAATGTAAGAGAACTGGGGTCATCTTTTATCACAAAGACAGCTCAGTGTTGAAGCAAACATTTTTTGCTTTCTGTCACAGAAAAATTGGCAGCAATCTAAACTGTACTTTTCTTTCTAATTTTCATATAGTCCTGAGAGGTTAAAAAAGAAAGTTAAAAACACATGTGACATACTAAATGTCCCAACAAGTGTTTGACTGAGATAAGTTTTAACACTTCTACTAAAAATTGAAAAACCGGCACTTCCGTGTTGGAGCTGAAAATACCCCTTGCAAGTTGTTCTTTCTATATGCCAATCCATATTATGTCTTGTGTTATTAACACAGACCGCTCAAAACAATTGCAAATGAGTGCATGTACAGAGAATTGTGTGCTAAATGATCCTAGGTTGTTGATGAAGCCTTTCATCAGTTTAAATGGAAGCTTCCTAGAAAGAGAGCTGTTTTCTTTTTTCTTCTATATATTCAAGGCTTACATACCAATTCCATTTAATAAATATGTATTATGGAGCCTTTAGGTAAAAATTCAGGGACTAGGCACTCCCAGAACTCCGAAGGTGAATAAATATGCAGTGAATATATATAATATACAATCTGATCATGGTTATGGACATGCAGATTTTATAATTCATTACAACAGAAGGCAGCATAAAAGCGGTACCTAGTCAGGGCAGGGGTGGACTATTTCTAAAGATATATAAAAAGGAGTTGATAAAAGAGAGAACACCGGACAGGCTTGGAAGTCAGTGTGTGTTTCGGAAGCTGGTGATGGCCTTTGAGGGAGATGGTTCTAGTGGAAGTTCTGTCATGAGCGACGTCAGGGAAGACTGAAGGCTCCAGGGGTATTCAAGGAGTGGCCAGCAGTGGAGAAGAGGACAGAGGACAGGAGGGCAGGTGTGAGGGGCAAGATCAAGCCGAAAGGCTGCTGTGGAGAACTTGCAAAACCACATTAGCAAAAGTGGCTGGTTTCGATCTACAAGTAAGTGGGACGCCGTGAAGACTGTGGGACAGGAGAGTAATTTAACTAAACATGTATTTTAAATTTATAACGAATGACAGTGACTTAGGAGAATTAGGGCATGTAGGAAGACAGACTCTTTAGGTGGTTATGGAAAATAGTGTAGGTGGGAAATGAGGTCTAGACAATGGATATAAATGGAAATAGCCTGCGTATTCTCTGTGGAATGATGTTCAAGAAAGAGATTTGCTTTTTTTTTTTTTTTTAATTTTCTTTCTCCTTTCTTATGGTTGGAATATGTAGATGATGTCTAGAACTAGAGCAGCCATCTTGAGCCATGAGGTAAACTCAGACATGGAAGCCCAGCCTGAGGTGGAAACAAACTAGAAGAATCCTGACACCCCAGTGCCTGGCTCGCCATACCAGACCCTCAGGAACTTTCTCTGAAAGAAAAAGCTGTGTTGCTTAACCCATGGTAATCAGAACTTTCTGTAGCTTGTTGTTGATACTAATCCTAATTAATATACCACCTATATCTGACCTATGAAGAGCCACAAGGTGGTAAGTAGGAATCAAATTACAAATATAATCTAATGCAACAGATTTCTCTCCTTGCCTTGAAAGAGCTGGAGTGGTGACAGGCAGGCTTCAGGCAGACACACCTTAGTAGCTACTGCAGCAGTCTGGCTTGGCCTGAAATGGGGGAGTGGGAATGGAAACAAGAGGCACGTGATATCACTCCCCCAAAGATGCCCACAGCCCTGTCGCAACTTTTACTTTTCAAATTTATTATTTTTTTAAATTTTTTTCTTTTGGTACTGGGGATTGAACTTGGCAGTACTTTACTTCTGAACTACATCCACGGCCATTTCTGTTTTTAATTGTGAGACTGGGTCTCACTGAGCTGCAAAGCTGTGAGCCTGTGAGGCAATCCTGTCACCTCAGCCCCCCAGCTTCTGGGATCACAAGTGTTCACCACCTGACCTGCCCAACTTCTGCATTTTTGCTCCTATGATTCCCTCTGATGAGAAAGACCTCACCCTCAAGAACTATCTAGTCCTGTGAGATTGTGTACACCCTCAAGTAGACGTATTTTCCCACAAAAGCTTGTCCACTCATTTATTTGTTCATGCTGCTGTTGCTCTTTCAAATGCATCAACAAAACTGATGGTGTTTTTGCTGTTCCTAATTCTGGGGACAGACAAGGTGCTCCAGGAGCTATCATGACCACTTCCTATGTCCTGGGACAGTTTGCTAAATCTTTTTTTTTTTTTTTTTTAATATTTAGTTATAGTTGGACACAATATCTTTGTTTTGTTTATTTATTTTTATGCAGGATGGAACCCAGTGTCTCACACAGGCAAGGCAAGTGCTCTACCACTGAGCTACAATCCCAGTCCTCCTAAATCCTTTGTATGCATGATCTCATTGACTCCTCTGATGATCTCTGTGACAAGAATAGCCTCTTTCCAAGAACCCTGGACTCACCCCAGCTCTCTCTCCTGCCTGTCCTACAATGAAATTGATGTGTAGACTCTCGTTTCTTCAGGAGGCAGTGGACAGGGGGCTGCCCTCAGAGCTGGAGGCATTGGAAGGGAGCATGCAGGAGCGGTTAACACCTGCTGACGTCAGCTTTCTGTATCAGCCACAATCCCTCAGCAACAACAAACCCACTGCATGCCTTTTACACATTTAAAGCACGTACCCATCACTCAACAGATACGTAGTCACCACCTATTCTGAAATTTGCATTCTACATTTTGTTCCAGGAAATGAAAAAATAACAGTGTTTGTTTCATTTCATTTCATTCTCCACAGGCTACCTAGTTAATGCCGTTAACTGAAAGAATAATAGTACACACTTCCCCCTGGGGTTCGAAATATCATATCAATCATTTGTCATACATGAGTGTATTTGGACATTGTAAGTTCAAATTTAGCAATTAATTCCTGGGGATATGACTTTGTAATAGTGTTTTCCTTTTTAACTTCTTTAAAGAAAATAATTATAGACTCACAGGAAGTCGCACAAATAGCTCAGAGTCCCATGTGCCCTCCCCGCATTGTGATGTCTTACATAACTGTACAATATTAAGGCAGGAAACGGACATTGGTAAGTTTAATTTTAACTAGCCTACTGTTATTCCGTTTCTTCAGCATTAAAAAAATTTCCATTCTCTCTTATATCTGTATGGTTCCATATAATTTTATTCCATCTGCAGATCATGTGACCAGTGTCACAGCAGAGAAACAGAATGATTCCATGACCTCCCACCTGGTATTTGCATCTATCACTCACCTATTCCATCCCTCCACCTTCTTCCCTGTGCCCTGGAGACCACTAATCTCTTGCGTGCCTATTGTTTTGTCATTACCAGAGTACTTTATAAATGGAATGAATACTGTGTGTAACCTTCTGAGAGTGACATTTTCCACTGGCCACATTACCCTTGAGGTCCACCAAGTGGTTGCATGTGTCGATCATTCATTCCTTTGAATTAGTGAGTATATTTCATTCTATGAATGTATTAGTTTGTTGAACTCTTCACCCAAGGAAGGATATGGGTTTTCTGCATAGTTATGCTATCATGAATAAAATTTCTATGAGCACTCGAGTTCAGACTTTTGCATAAATCTAAGGTTTTGCTTCTTTAAGATTAACTCCCAAGCATGCAACTTCTGGGTTATATGGTAACTACACATTTCCTTTTGTAAGACATTGAAAATGTGTTTTCCAGAATATCAACATCATTTGACACTCCCACAAATAAAGTGTCAGTTTCTCTGTATCCTTGCCAGCATTTGGTATTGTCATTATGTTTTAATTGTAATATAACTTACATAGCATGACATTCATCCTTTTAAAGAGGACAACCAGGAGGCTAGGAAGGTGGCTTCATGGTAGAGCTAGTGCCTAACATGCTCAAGGCTCTGGGTTCAATTCCAAGCACTGCAAAAATTAATTAAAAAATAAAGGGGGAAAGACAGTAGTCACAAAGGTGTCTGGCCACCACTACTATCTAATTCCAAAACATTTTAATTTTTCTCAGAAGGAAGCCCATATTCATTAGCAGCTTTGGCATGCTGCTCCCAAGACTCTAGGAACCAGCTATATATTTTTGCTTTACATATTTGTCCATTCTGGACATTTCATATGACTAGAATCATAAAATGTAGCCTTTTAATACTATTTTTAATTTTAGGCATGTATTGAGATCTCATTGTGATTTTAATCTGTTTCCTTACTGTAAATAAATGCAGTTTGTGTGCTTATATGCTATCACTATTTCCTTTTTGATGAAATATCATTTATGTCCTCTGCCTAATTTATAACTCTGTTGTTTGCTGTTGAATTTTGATAGTTTTTATTATATTCTAAATAGTAGGAATTTTCAGATACATAGTTTGCACATATTTTCTCCCATTCTGTAGCTTGTCTTTTCATTCTTCTTCACAACATCTTCCATGGCATAAATGTTTTAAATTATGATATTATTTCCCTTTTTATGGATCATTCTTTGGGTGACGTGTCTCAGGACTCCTTGCCCAGCCCTATTGCAAAGAATTTAAAAAAAAAAATTCAAAAACAAAAAAGCAAGGTCTATCAAAATCTACCTACTGAAAGTTGGTAATACGGAGAAACATCTTAAAGTAGCTATGGAAAAAGGTCTAGTCCATCCAGAGGAGGAGGATAAAATGTTAGTGGCAAGCCACCATGGAACAGCCAGTATCTTTAAAAGGGGAGGAACAAGTAAGGAACAATTAACATTTATTTCACACACACACACACACACACACACACACACGAGTCAATTCCCACTGCCTCTGATCTTCGTGGCCTGGGTGTCCTGCAGAATCCGAGATCCCTGGTAAGGGAACCAAACACACACTCCTGGCCCAGAAGTGGGACAGGTAAAAGGGGAACCCGGGAAAGTGGGAGCAGCTGAAGGCCTGGCTGCACCTCACATTAAAAATGTGACCCAGATAATGAAGGACTATGGGTGTCAGCTACAAAAACTTTCCACTGTTTCATTTCCTCCAAATTTCACCCTAGACTCCCCTGTGGCCCTCCTTCATCAGAAACGTACGATAAAAGGAATTCCAGGAAAGGTTACCTGGCACCGCTATCACATGGGATCTGTTTATTTTAGCAAATTCTTAAAAGCAAACATGAAGCTAAAGATGTCTGAAGACATCGGGAAAAGCAGCACACGTGTCTGGTGGACTTAGATGGAGTTCATTGTGGGATCCATGGCCCAGAAATTTTACAGACTTTGCTCAATGGGGAAGATAACTGGCTGGACCCCCAACAGAAAGCAAGTCCTTCTCTGGTGTGATTTTGGAGACTATTAAATATACACAGGAGAAGGTGAATTGACGCAAACCAAGAAGGACAACTGATGTACTCAGAAGAAGCAACAGCAGGAGGTCTTTATCCCCAGAGCCCCATGCAAGAGGAGCTGGAGTGGCCAGGGAGGTAGTGCGTGCCAGAAACGTGGTGTCACCTGGAAGGAGCAGAGAAATACCCTGGCCTACCTTCATTCTACCCTCCTGTCTCCTGCCACAGCCTCCTTCGGCTCAGAGCATTGGGTAGACTGACTGAGAATGATCAGGGAAGACAAGCAACAGCTGGTACTGAGAGTCATGTCTAAATCAGCCAAACTGCTATGTTACCAAAGACCCTGAAATCGTCACGATGAAAATAATCTGGTGTAGGGTTTACATTTTCCTTGTTCTTTGTCACTAATGTTGAAGCACATTCACCATCATTCTGACAAATACCATTAATTTACATTTTTTTTCCCTCAAATGGAACATTGCCCTGTAAGTTACTTTCATAACAAAGATTGACTCAGTTTTCAATAGAAGTGAGAAGTGGAAATCAGCCATATTCTCACTCTGTTACTCATAAATTTTCTGCATGTTAGTCAACTTCTTCAAGTGTTCTGAGTCACAATAACTCACGGTCAGGCACTGAAAATGCAATTTGGCTATTCTAAAGGTGAAAGTATGTAATGAGTTAATGTTATTCAAAGAGAGCAAGCAGCTCAAGCCAAAGGCCTAACAGCACTTAGTGTGAACAGTTAGTGGATCTAAACTCATACAGTCAATGCCATAAAAAAATAAGGGTATACTCAAGTACACTCTTGCCTTAAGTATCATTGTAAAATGTCAGATGTAGAACTGGCTATTTGCAGTATATTTGGGCTTCCTTCTTTCCTCTTCTCTCCATTTCAAGCACTTTCATATTTACTGATGCATTTATTCCTAAACAAAGGTATTATTCCCATAATGCAGATGATGAGAAACTGAGGCCCAGGAAGTTGACATGACTGGTCCCGACTCTATTCATCTTAGAAAGACACAACCCATGAAATAAAAGCACATCACTTGCTTTCAAACTCTCCCTACTTCAATTAAATACTTTAAAATGCCTTAAAAGACCATTCGCTTGCTTGCTGAGTAGCCTATACTCTCTATGACCTGTCAGTCCTGAGATACTGCCCTTCTAATTTCTGACTTCACTCCTGGGAATTCTCTGCTTCTAAGGGGAATGTGTCCATATAACTTTATAAAATAGCCTTTAGAGATTTAAAATTTTTTTGCAAACAGCTTCATAGTGATAAAACAACAACAAAAGCACGTAGGAGTGAGGATCTCTAAGCCACTCTTCAGGTCAAGAGACAATAAATTGACCACAGGGTCAGAAGTCATCAGATGCACCTGAACACACACAAGCTCCTAAATCAGCTCAAAATGAGTCCTGTCAAAAGCCTGTGTTTGTCTGTTTAATCTTCTCCATCAAGCACTGCAGAGAGTAAATTTTGCTCCCACGTATTTTCGGGACCATCTACTCAATTGCCTCTTTCTCACCATTCACAGTGACAATAATAGTATTTATTGGGTTCTGACTGCTCACTAAATGCTATACTCAAGCCTTTATATAGTAAACTTAGTTCTCATATAGATCCTATGAGATAGTTGTCCTTAAAATCTTGATTTTACCCATGAAGAAACAGGCAAAGGGAAGCCAGCTCACCTGGTGAGTACCGGCCAAGCCAGGCTCTGAACCTGGGCAGTCTGTCAGCCCCTGCTTCTGACTGCCCTCCTGCCCAGGCCTTCATCAGGTCCCCCTGAGATGTGCTCCCACAAATATGGGATCCCTAGAGTGCCTGGTACACACACTTTGCAAAGTTGATTGCAAGGTTGATTGAATGATTAAATAATTGATGAAGGGAAGAAGGAAGAAAGAAGGATGAGTATACAAACAGGTTTTTAGAATTGTCAGAGAAAGAGATAATTTCAGAGCCAACAGGATAGGAAGAAAAGCTTGAATCAAGGAGCATTTCATAATGGTAAAGAGCCAATGAACAGAGGTGAGGAGGGAAAAAAAAGAAATTTCAGGTGGAAAAATTATATAAAGTCAGAAAAACCCAGGATCCCAGAGATACATTAGATAACAGTACGTGACCTGAATAGACTGTGACTTAGTCCTGGGCTACATGCAGGTAATACAGGGAGATGAGTCTAACAGGTGAGTTGAATTGACATTGCTGAATCTTTTAAATAGAAGACAGGAATTATGGGGTTAAAAAAAATGGAAGCCCCTCTAAGGAAAGAGGGTGATATCTCACCACTGTACATAGGGTTACATTCAGGGAACTTGGAGCAGGGGTTTCTGACTTGCAGTGGGTGGATTCGTGGGGTCCATGGAGTTTTAGGGATAGATACTGGAAATGGAAACGAAATTTTGTCTGCATTTCTGTATGTGCAAGTTTCTACTGAGAACATTCCACGTCCTCAATGATTCTCAAAAAAACTGTGATACCCCTCTACCTCCATATGACTGCCGGAAGCCAGAGTCTAAACAGAGGCCAATGTATCTGAATATTTTCAATTTACAAACAAAACTAAGAAGTTGTTAAATATGGTCTTCATTCTGCCTTGTCAAATAGGATCTCCCAATGATAAAACTAGAAAATACGTGACTAAAAGTTGGCAAAATATAAAAAACAACTAAATATTTTTTTTGTATGTAGTATTAGAGATCAAACTCAGGGCCTTGGATATGCAAAGCACATACTCTGTACACACTGAGCTACATCCCCAGTCCATAAATTTGTTTTTGTTGCCTTCATTAAGCAAAATATTACTTATAATAAGATTTACAACAAAATTACAATTTTGTTCTATTCATGATGATCTCAAGTGTTAAAAGTGAATAGTAAGGATATTCAAAATTTACTTTTATAAAAAATGTAAAAATTGGGCATAGTGGCACACACTTGTAATCCCAGCAACTTAGGAGCCAAGGCAGGAGGATCACAAGTTCAAGCCAGCCTGGGCAATTTAGTGAGACCTGATCTCAAAATAAAAATAAAAAATAAACATGGCTGGGGAGGTAGGTCACTGGTAGTGCACCTCTGAGTTAATCCCCAGTACTGCGAAAACAAACAAAACAAAACAAACAAACAACAACAAAAAAAAAAAAAGGAAAAGAAAATATATAAATGAGGTAAATGTAAAAACTCAAAATACCTAATGACATTAATATTATTTATTAAAATTAAAGCCAACTACAATGGCTTAGAACTTAGAATGGCTAAAATCCAAACCACTGACAGCATCAAATACCGACAAGGATGCAGAACAACAAAAACTCTCACTCGTTGCTTACTGGGGGTGCAAAATGGTACAACTACTTGGGAAGACAGTCTGGCAGTTTCTCACAAAACTAAGCATATGCTTGCCCTATGATGCCGTGATCATACTTCCTGGTATTGTGCCA